CCCAGGAGGGGCATGAGGAGCATGGGAGGGTCGTCATGACCCCGCCGGCGATCACAGTGGAAGAGCCGGACGAGGTGGATCGGCACGACAAGTCTGCATCGCCGAGCATGGAGGGAGATCAAGAGGGAGTAGAGGCTGTGCAGGAGGCGCCAGCGATCGACCAGGAGTCTGAGGAGGGCAAAGGGCAGCTGGCAGATAATGCACCTAGCACGGACGACAGCACTGGAGGGGCCGAAGCAAAGGGGGATGAGGGATCTGATGATATGACTGTGGAAGAGAGCATGGATACGAGCTCCGAGGCAGGATAGTCTTGGTGCAGGACACACTTCTACATGTTGTATTGTATTGCATGCACATTGTCCCGCATACTTGGTGAGACTGCTGAAGTTGGCGTCAAGAACAGATGGCATGCTAGTCCCTGCTGTCCACTAATGCCGACCTGGAACGAGCTGGCGAGAGGGGTGACTTCCTAGACGCTGATCCCGTTTGGCGCCCTCTGGGACTGTCGAATCCATCGCTGGAGGGGGAATCAGAGTATCGCCGTCTTCGTCTCGCGGGGGAGGCGGACCGTCGTGACGTGGCTGAGGACGAGGCGGAAGGTGATCTGCGGCTTTGTCGCTTGGATCGGGTACGCGAGCGTGAGCGTGAGCGGGAGGATGCTGACGAGCTGGAGCCAGAGTCGGAATCGGTGTCGGAGCCAGAGCCAGAGTCAGAGTCTGACCCCGAGCTGGCGGATGACGAGGCGGCTCTGAGGGAACCTCGTCAGCAGGAATGACTCGGATGAAGGATGTGTGCCTCGACATACCTCTTTCGTCTTCCCTTGGCAACCTTCTTCTCCTCTGCTTTCCTCCTCTCCTCCTCTTTCGCCTTGAGGATCTTGTCCGCTAACCCTTTACCACCCCCAGACGAGGAAGTCTTGAACTCCTCGGGCACCTCGACCGACGGCTTGTCCCTCCCGCCCAGACCCGCTGCGAGCTGCTTGGTGCGCGACGGTCGGGGGACATATGGGCGCGGGTTGGTACATTGGTAGGTATGATGGCCCAGCTTGAGACATTTCTGCAAAGCGCAGACCGCCCGCGTGATCAGCGAAGAGTGCGATCGAGCAGTGATCACCGACTCACTTGACAACGCGTGTTGGGCGAAGCCCGATCGTTGTTGACCAGCTGTCGGGGGCCGCGAGTGAACATGATGCAGGGTGGTGGTAGAGACTGAACGGTGAAGAGCGGCTTTGTTCGACGAACGGCTAAGAATGACGAGAGGGAACGAGTTGGACGAGTGCGATGACATGTGGCACCGTAATCTCCCTCCTGGGTGACGGCTACCACGCCGCCGTCGCACCTTGTCGCGCTGCCTGACATCCCATGCTTGGACTATTGACGGATCTGGACGCACTAGAGACACCTTTTGCTGTATGTACGCGCGCAGCGCATGCATACTGTGCGACAGATACACCACCTCTTCAGAGTCGATTGGGCGGGAACACAGGTCAGGGCCCGAGAATATATGGTTAAATCCCCCAAGAGGTTCCCCTGAGAGCTGCAAAGTGTACGAGTCATCAACGGGTTGGCATCGCTCTCATCCCGACTCCCTTCGCATCTCTTCACATCGCCTCCTTGACTAGATGACAGTGTCACGACAGCTCGACGCCAACGGAGCCTACTGACACGGATACGCCACGGGTGAGGGATAAGAGTCATTCTGCATAACGAACGCCATCTCACCGTTCGGCATTACGCTAAAGCTCGACCTGGTCCATCCATCTGCCATATGCACTACTTCCCAGCGATATACAGTCTGTTATCCCGCCGCGAGTCGCTATAACAATACACAACCACAGAGACCTGTACGATAATCTCCCCTTGGGCATACTGGTAATCCCCCACGATGAGCCCGAGCAGATCACCCGTGTCCAAGCTCCAGGTCAAGCCGCCCGGCAGTACGAGCCTAGGACGGATGGATTCAAAGCCTGACTCGAGTTCATCCTCTGGCTCGTCGAGTATGACAGGAGGCGATTCCTCCTCTTCGCTCCCGCTCACGTTGTCCGTCGATGCTCCTCCCGCTCAGACATCCGCCCAAGCGCGGAGACCCGAGCGACCTCATACCCTTGGTCAAGACCACAAGCACCCGATGCCTCGTCTACCTGATGACCTGCCCGCGCACCCCTCAGGACGCTTGTCTCCAGAGCTCCGAGCCGCGGCGAACCTCCCCTCGGGGACCAGGCTCGCGCCGTGGGAATCCCATTCAGGCTCGGACGATGCCCGACCAGAGCGCGGGACGCGCTTACCGCAGCTCGCTCCCCCTCGACAGTTCGCAAGGGGTACGCCGATGAATGAGCTGGCCGGGGGGTTCAGAGTGGATGTATCCGCCTGGCCTGGGCAAAGTGACACGGGACAGGACGCAGGCGAGGGCGGAGCCGGAACGAGCACGAGCATGGGCTGGGCGACTTGGCAGTCTCATCCGTCCAGCACGATGGGCGCTGGGCCAGGCCCAGCGAGTGCGTCGGCCTCTCCCGTCGCACATCATCGTAGCACCTCGACGCCTTCGGCCTCGCCTCACCAATCTCAGCTCGCACCCACGCCCAACCGATCCGCACTCCCTCCGCACCTCTCGCCCCGGTTCCAACCGTATCCATCCGGCCGTGCTGTGTCCTCGGGATCCCTGCCGCAGCCGTCCCATGGCATGGTAGGGGGACATATGGGTCCACCGGCGCACCCACAAGACGCGGCGTCCGGACGTGCATGGAGCGAGCCGGGTATACAGGAGCCCGTGCCCCATTCGGCGGGATACCCTGGTATCTTGTATGGCAACGTCCCCTTGCCGGAAGGCTATGTCCCCTCGCCCCCGTACGGGGGGCGAGCGATGGATGAAGAGAGAGTTGGGTCGGGAGAGTACGCACAGGTGAGCTCGAAGTCTGGCTCAGGAGGTTCATTGCCGTGCTGACCATCGTTCAGGCCCACGCCATATACAGTCATCTGCTGTCGGCCCTACCCTACATCCTGGCGAACAACTCGTCCACTCCAAATTCGCCTGCTGCCGGCCGCGTGGGTGGTCAAGGCGCAGGGCAGAGCTTCGAATCCTTGGTGTCTCTGGCATCAGACGGCCTGGGCCTGCTATCAGGGCAGCTTCTAGCGGAAGCTACAGCGGGCGGGAGCGGTAAGGGAAAGAGGAGGAACTCTGCGTCCAGGCCCGGCATCAACACCGATGGCATCGGCGGACTTCGGGAACCCGGTTCAGCCGGCGGTCAGCCAGGCAAGGCGCAGACCACGCGCTGCCTTGGATGCGGAGCCACCGAGACGCCAGAGTGGAGAAGGGGTCCGATGGGTCCGAGGACCCTGTGCAACGCTTGTGTGAGCTGCCCAGCAAGGGTACTCGGTATAGACAGCTGATCCGCCTTGTCACCCGTTACAGGGCCTGGTCCACATGAAACTTCAGCGCAAGAAGAAAAAGGCGGAAGAGAAGGCGCGAGCCGCAGCTGCTGCCGCTCAGGGAGGGTCTTGAGCGTGCGGGCAACAAGACTTATGGTCTGGTCTGCACGATGGTGTTGGGTACTTTGAACGATCTTGGGCATCAGTGTTCTCCCGTATATGTTGTACGAGTTATATTGATTGGCATGTACCGCTGATCCGACCCCCCATCGCGATGATCCTTTCCTCGTATCCTTGAACTACACGACCGCCTATCAGCCGCCCCCGTCATCTGCGCAACCACCAGACGACGATGAAGATCCACAGGACCAGCAGTAGGAACCCCATGAACCAGCACCAGTTGCCACCCTGCCTCGATGCCATCTTGTTCATCCGCCTGAACGTTCCTCCGAGAAAGTTGGACGTTGACGAGAAGCTGTCGTTCTGGGGAGGGGTTGGGGGGGTGAGCGAGTCAGCCCCTAGCGAGACTTGGCACGGCTCGTTATATGAGACACCCACCATATTGCCCAGGACCACATTGCTGTCCCGCACTTCATTACCTATCCCCACGGTGATCTACCAAGCGAGTCAGCACCTCCTATACGCGCTCGAAGCCCCCCCCCCCCCCTCACATCTTTGAGCAGCTTGACCTTGCCCAGTAAGCCGTCCAGCCGCTCGTCATTCTGCCCCTCCACGTGATGAGCATCCCTCGAATGCATCTTGGTCTGATACCCTGATCCCGGTCCGAAGCTGCTGCTGGCCATGCCGCCTCCGAAGGGGGATTCAGAGTACTGGCTAGCGGTCGAGCCAGGCCGGGAGGGCGTACCGCGCAACGACGACGGACCGGATCCATTCGGGTTGGGAGGGTACAGGACCGGTGAGGGGGTGGAGGTGGGGTGGGATTGAGGGTTACGCTGGGACAGGGTGGCGAGGCTGCAAGTGGGAGGTGAGCCGGTGCATAGGACTTGTGCGACCTGGACGACTTACCGGCTCATGGCGAAGGTGACCTGGACGAAGCGCGAGCGTGGGGATTTCCAGCGGGCACTTCAACGGATAGCCGACAGGTGTGATGCACCGTCGGACCTGGTAAGTGGGATCACGATCGTTTTGTACTGTCGACGTCAAAGTTCTCAGTGGAAAGTCGACACTGAAGGTAATGTATCAAGTGTATCAAGTGGAACGAAGTAGACGCGTAGGATGACGACATACGACCGATTCCACCGAGGCAGCATAACACAAAACGCGGCGAGGTCTCGCTTCACTTCATCACGGTCGAGCTTCTGGTCGGCGCTCTGAAGAAGCACGTCGACCATGCTTTGTACCCTCACGCTCTTCGTGGTCGTGCACGGCGGACCTCAAGCCCATAGCATACAAAGCCAGGGGGAGAATACCGTCTCACTCCCAATCTTCCTGCCTGTGATGTGAACCTGGCTTGTGGCGCAGGTTCTTCTCGTCCCTATGCACTCGCTCGAGCGTGAGTCCTTAGCCCAGCAGTCGCAGCAGCATGGCCAGCAAAGGACCGGCGCAAAACCGCCTTCGCTACGAGTGTGACCGCTGGATTTGGGATGGGCCAACCTCAAAAACCGTCAAAAAAGAAGGCGATATTGGGGATTGAACCCAAGTTATTCGGAAAATGTTCGCGTCAAAACCGAACGTCCTAACCACTAGACGATATCGCCATTAGACTGTGACGTCCGTGCGCGTCGAATATGACATTGCCTTCTTGGCTTGAATCATCGTCACATTAGCATCGCGGCATACAGCCATTAGAGTGATCGCCGTAGGCACCTATACGCTGCGCCCTGCGTACTCCTTACATGCTGGCATACTACAGCGCCTCGAAAGTACGGTCGTGGTACATGATATGTGCTGTTAGTTGCAGGTCACTCAGGGGGAAGCACAGGTAGACCGGCCGGGTCTTGTTCTCGAGCGCGATCGATGCCGGTCCCGCTTGACATGTCACTTCCGGTGATACCTGGGCAGTATCGTCTGGTGGGTCAGCTTTCCTGCTGTTAAGCCGCTAAGGGGGCCGAGACAGAAGGAAGAGGGGGAAGTTGCCATGATCAAGGTAACGCAGGCATCGCGGTTCTCGCCACAAAAGGCTAGACCTGCATCACGCTGATCCCCCGGCAGTGGCCAGCGCAAGCTACGCGATCGTGACCATCCATGTCCCCTCCTTCAGCTCGCCTGCCGCGCACGCAGCGCACGTCCGCATAAGGACAGAAGCCTGGGCTCATTGTTCGGCATATGAACCGGATTGATGGTTGGGGATGATCACTATCACTTTCAACCCAGTCTGGTGTCTCGCTTGCCGCCCGCCCCATTCCTTGCTTCCACCTGCTTCTGCTTCTATTCGGTGATCCCCAGAGATCACTGTGACATATTCTTAGCGTGCTGTGCTGCATTTACATGGCCGACTGTCTTTCAGACTGATATAAGAGGGTAGCTTGAAACGTTCAGTCGTGTAGCATGCGATCGCTGGCCAGCATCGCTGTATCGAGGCTTCAGAAGACAGCTGGACTGCCATCGAAGCAGCCTGACACTGCCTGCCTCTACGCCACTTCTTGATCGGACCACCAAGGAAGAACACCTCAACGACAACATGGGTCATCTTAAATCCAGCATGCTGTTGACCCTCCTGCTCGTCGCAAGCGACATTGCCACCATCGCCTTCGCAGACACCTTCATCGGCTGCGCCAACATGAGCGTGGTGGACAGGTTCAGCTACTGGGAGTTCGCAGGTCCCAATACCACAGCTGGCGATTCACCTTGGTCCTGCAGCGTGAGTCGGGCACCAGCCGCATCTCATCATCGCCTCGACTCTTACTAATCTGCCACTTCACCGCAGGAGTACTGCGGCTCGATGGGTTACTCCAATGCTGGCTTTGCCCGATCACCGGACGGCGAGGCGGCCAATTGCTACTGCACCTATACGATCCCTTCCGCTCCCGCGGCGGACCTCCTCACGGATGGTTATGGGTCCGACTGCGAGGACGGGACGATCAGGGTGAGTATCGACCCCTGTCATCCATCCAACCCCGAAGTCGCCCCAGAGTCAAAAAGCTGATCGTGGCTACCACAGATCGCCAGCATCACCACCTACTTCCACTTTGACAGGTGCCACACATCCCCACCCACAGCCATCAACTCACCAACGACAGCATCCCCACTGATGGTCCCGAAAGGCCAGCTGGGATCCTTCGAAGCCTGCTTTACCGCGTGCGACGCCTACACCCACGCGTACGTCTCGCCCATCCCTGCGAACGGGACCGGCCCGCTCAGCAGGTACGACTGCGCCTGCTCGGACTGCAGGCCGCAGAACAAGCCGAGGAGGACCCAGTGCGGGAGTCGCAGGTGGTTCTCGTTCACCCAGCCAAAGTGCGAATCTCGAAGGTGGTTGTTGCCTGGCCAGGGGCGCGAGGGGGATGATGGCGAGACGGACGACACGGGGGCGGCCGGGTCGGTGGTCGAGTAGCACGAGTCAGTCCCATCGGTCAAGAACGGTAGACGTCTGGCGGGATCGAGATCAGTCGGGTCAGTAAACACGTTGGCTGGACAGATCCGCAAGTCGAGGTGAAATGGACAGTCCTATGCATGAGTCATTGTAAAAGATCAGGTCGTCGCGTTGACAGACCTGCCACGTGTCGGCTTCGGATACCAGGCTATACCGCTATGTCCACCGGGATAAGAGCATCGCGAGAAACCGCGCATGCGAAAGGCAAAGTAGCCATCGCTCGCCTGCAATAGGGCTTGCTCTTCGATCAGACGCAGCGCTGATCTGGTCGTACTGCCCTGGCGAGGTTGAAGCCATCCCGGCCATCCCGGCCATCCACCATGAGCTAGAGTCGACTATCGCGCCTACTTGGGCCGCTGCAGCAGCACGACTTTTGGCTCATCCAGCCTGCCCAGTCGACCCTTTGGCCGATAGTCATCACGACTGTCCGGCGCATCGCCTCGAGGGGGCACATCGATCCTAGCGTTTGAGCGGGACTTGCCAGGCGCAGCGGTCCGGACAAGAGACTCGGGGCGCTGGAGGAGGACGAATTCACCTGCGGCAGGCTTGGGTCCTCTGCCTCCACCACCGCCACCACCACCGCCTCCTCGACCTCGACCACCGCCTCTGCCGCGCCCCCGAGGGCCCGGACCCGGCCCACCAGCGTGATCGCCGCGGGCGGGAGGCGGTGGCCTGTGAGGATCAAAGGGTGGAGGTGCACCGCCAGGACCCGGTCGAGGGGGAGCCGCGCCGTGGTGGCCATGCGATGGGCCGCGCTGCGGCGGTGGACCGGGAGGCATGCCGCCCATGCCTCGCGGTGCAGGTGGTCTGCCCGGTGAGACAACCGGATGAGGCGCATCGATCCTCGGCCTGGGCTGTGGAGCAGGCGGAGCGGGACCGAGTCCGCTCACCGGCAAGGCCGGATGATCGCTCAAAGGAGACGGATGGTCGCTGCCTTCTGGTCGGTCCGCGGGAGACGGGGAAGCAGGTCGTCGCAAGAGAATTCTGACCTCCGGCTGAGGCTCCTCTTTCGCCCTTTTCTGGTCCGAACGGCCCGGCTGACCCTTGCCACCTCCCTTGACCTTCCTGTCCTTGCTCCGCCCCGGATCCCTCTCTCCACGTTGCTTTTTCCCGTTCCGCCTGTCACGGCCCAGTCCGGACGCCTCGACTTCCACGTCGTCGTCACGTAGCACTTCCAGAGCCAAGTCGAACCTCGCCGCTTCTTCCAGTACGACGTGGCCCTCTGCCCTTGCGGCGTAGTCGGCGTCCCGTCCAGAAGGGACCGGCTGATTCCTCCCCTCCTCGACCTCGACAAAGATTGGCGGACTGCCCACATACAGGATCGGACCGCGTTCTCGATCCAGCCCATCATCCTCATCCTCCACCTCCGACTCCTTGTCCATGATGGTTTTGAAGTACGCCACACAGGTGAACACCTTGGTAACCCACAGCGGCATGACCTCCCCGTCCATGGGCGGCAGAGCCAGCTCGTCCACCATCGAGTCCACCGGCTTCTCTTCCGCCTCACGCTGCAACCGCACGCCACGGCCCTTCTTGTAATTGGTGCCCAGTTGCACGGTGATGGAAGGGTCCGAGGACAGGAGCGAGTGGAACCTCGTGGCATGCTCGACGTAACGCGCCGCCTGACGAGCGGCCACCGCGGACGGGGAGGAACCCTTCTTCAACAGGTCGAGGGTCCGGATGGCTAAACACACGGCTCAGGGATCAGAAAGGACCCCGCTCGGGCATGACCGACACACATACACACCTTCCAGAGGCACGACGATTTCCCATCCCTTGCCCACCAATCTCTTGACGGCGTTCCTGGCCCACATGAGCGCCGAGGCGTCCACGACCACGACCCGCCAGTCTTCCCCGTCTTGATCAAAGTCGTCGAGGTCATCCGGTCTCCCCAGGTCGTCGTTCGGGTCACGCAACAAGGCCCCGTCCAGACCGGTCGGCATGGCTCCGCCGCCATCTGGGTTCTGAGCGTGACCGCGGACCGGAACGATGGGGTTGAGACTCGTAGCCTTGACCTTTGACTCGAGCTCGGCGATCTGATGGCTCAGATAAGCGGCCGACAGGGCCTTCTGCAGCTTGGCCTGGCGTGACGCCTGGGTCACCGACGCGTGAGCGAGTAGCCGATTCGAGCAGACGCGCCACCTACGAGATCATCGTCACTCTGTTCGTTCAACATTCTTCTCTTCTGCTGTTTGCGCTGGGGCGAGGTGTCACCCGATTGACAAGTCGACGAGGTAAGAGGCTAGACAGAATGCCCCATCGTTCTGGTATCGGTGGCAAGGGCGTGACGGAGAGGTCTGTACATTCGGCGGCGCGAGAGAAGGAGCGCCAATGAATGAGCCGGTTGTTGGAGGCAGTTGGACGCGCTTTGTACGCTTCCGGCCGCTCTGATGGAGTATGAGTCGAGTGGGCGAGACAAGCGGGTCGATTGGGGGCGGTCTGAAAGGACGACTGGGTCGACACAAGGGATGGGATCGAGCGGGGTGACGGCCAAAGGGAATTGGGAAGCGACTCACTGGGACGGGGGGATATAACCGATGATGGATGACGTGGACATAAGCAGCAAAGGTAGGTGGGATCGCGGCGGTGATAAGGTAGATTCCGCTGAGATTTCGAGACTCTCCTCTGGTTACCGTCCTCCGACTTTTACCATGGATACAAGGCTTCGTTGACCCGGTCCACCTTGCTTAGCTCTTCGTGTACCATCCCCAAGATGAGCCGATCCACCGCCAGCCGCTTATTCGCTCAAGCATCCAGCGTGCTCCGACCCGCCGCGAACTCGTGTGACGCAGCGGCGTCATCATCGCGAGGGTTCGCTTCGTCCGCTGCCTCCTCCTCATGTGAGTGACGGTATGCTCGTGGCACTGTTCGTGGGCTGGCCTGCCTTGATCGTTGTATTACTCTTGCCTCCTGATCTACGCCACACTCGCCGCCCGCCAGAATTCTGGCCTTGACGAACGACTTGCCTAGACTCTGTCATCCCAAAATTCAACATCAAGCTGACCCCACGCTATAGCCTACCCCTTCAACCCCTCAGCCATCCAGGGCTCCTCAAGCGCCCCCTCACCACCTCCTCAGAACCTGCTCACCCCTCGCCGCGGATGGTCCCTCATCACCCACCTCAACGCCGCCGCCCCCGCATCACCCTACGCCAACCTCTTCGCC